CTGGGATATTCTGCAGGCTCCTGCAATTGTGGATTACAGGTTCAAGGTAGCCTCCATCAACAGGATTTTAGCCTAGCGCTCAACGAATTAGGATTTAGGTGTAAATGTCAATTGTTTCAATGCCAAAAGCTGTGGCTTTCTGCATCAGAAGGTAAATACTTGACCGAGCAGTGCCTCTGTCTGCTCAGTACTTTGCCAAATGGAGTCTGTCTGGATCAGAAGGGAAACACATCAGTGGGGGTGCCCTCCATCACTATCCTTAGTCTGGTCTCTGAGTCAGGACTGAACTGGGTTTCTCAGGTGATTCAAACTGATTCTGAACCAGCTTCAGAATCAGAAATTCTCAAGATGACAATCAGAAAGGGTTATTTTTGCTTGGAAGGAGAAAATTGAAATCAGCACTTGACATACATAGTCCTCAGATGTCAGCCAGAGATCTGGGAAGACCAGTGTAAGCCCAGTTCTTTGTTTAATAGGTTTCATTAACTTATTGTTTCCATGAAAATTACGGTGTTTTGCTTTTTTGTGTTTCTCTTTGTTTTTCCCCAAAGAGTCTCTTTTACTGAACATGTGAGCCCTTCTTCAAGTGTAGAAGTTTCAAAGCTGCAAATCTTCATGTCTAAACAACTGTGTCTGTCAAGAGGGGTGGCAGTTACTGTGCTACAATTTATTTGTTGGCTGGCAGATATATCTCCTGAAAACAAAGGCTTGAGACATGAGCTTGATCCAGCAAAAAATGAAGTGCACTTAAAATTTTAAAGGTTAGCCTGTAAGCAAGAATGGTGTTTGCTGTGTGGGCAGGATGTTTTTCTTAGCTTGTACTTGTACCCAGAAGGTATCAGGCAGCCAGTGGCAAAAATTTTGTGAGCTTCTATTCACCCTGACAGGTTTGTGCTGATGTAGGTGTCTGTTAGGGCTCTGAACAATATTGTATTTGTATATTTAAAAGTGTAATAGTGAAAAGTTTCAAGCTCCTTGCAATGTGTAAGAGGGAAAATTTTGAGGTGGAGAGGGGTAAAAGTGCAAGTGTGTCTACAATGGCACAGATTTGATGGAAGCCAGAAGCCAGGCTGGGCCCTGGGAGGCATCACTTCTGCCAATGGCCCTGCTATTGCTTCCCAGCATAACCGTGGTGGTCTCACCTCATTTCTGCCTGAATACTTGTAGTGACAACATACAAGTTGTCTATAGCTCAGGGTGAGTGCGAGGGCAGGGTTTTCTATTAGCGGGCTGGCAGCCCCGTTCCTGGTGGCTGCAGCAGGCGATGCTGCGGCGCAGGAGCTGCACGGGTGCTGAGGGAAGCGCTCAGAGCTGTGGTTTCACGGCACGCTGCGCCGCCGTATCTGAAATAACCGAGCTGGGCATGTGTCTCACTGCACAGCTCCTTCGTAGGTTGACTCATGGTCTTCACAGCTGTATGAAGGGAGAGCAGCAAGGAGTGTTTATTTTCCCTTCTTAAACATATGGTAGCAGGTAGAGATTTCTCATTGTAAGAGCTGAAGGCAGTGTGTGTCTTGGTGCGATTTCCTACCTCCATGGAGAGACTTGCCATTGGCAGGCAAGTCTCTTCGCCTGCCTTGAAGTACACATTGCTTTCTGGAGGTGCCTTGATACCTCTCTGTTGACAGAACTCTGTGCAGTCACTCTCATAACCTGAAATACATCCAGCTGTTCAGGTTGATGTCAGGTGAAAGTCTACAAAATGCTGGTCTTGGTGCTGAATAATAATCAATACTAATGAGCCTTTTGCCCATCTTATCCCTTATTCACAGAGGGACAACCTGGTTAAATCTGTCAGGAGGGCTGAGTGCTGAGGGTGGGATGTGTCCTCCACCAGCCCATGGTTAACTGGTAACCCCAGTGCCCCATTCTGCTGTGGCTGCTGGTGCATCCATGCAGACCAGGGACGTTCCCTTGCCCAGATGGCTCCACCACTGAAGGTGGTCAGCAGTGGGTGGCACTGATGTGCTCTGCCTGGACATGGAGTTTCCTGCCTCCTCCCACGGCTTGCCCAGCTCTAAGTAAGTGAAATCTGACTTGCAAAGCTCCGAGGGTGAGAAGGCGCCAAAGGTGCACTGTAGGGACACTGTGCTTAAAGGGCAGCTGGCTTTCAATTCTTTTCCTCCTTTTCTCCCTCAAACCTAGACATGTTTCTTCCCCACATCATCTAGAGTCATATGCTGCTGAGAACACGGATTTTGGTCTTTGCATTCTTCTCTCTCTGCCGGAGGGAGACTTCCAGCAATGCCAATAATAATAATAATAATAATAATAATAATGCAGGGACAGCTCTCCCTCCTGCATCCAAGGGAATATTCTCCCGCGAGTGCAGTGGGAACAGCACTGGGTCCCGTGGCTGTGTGTGGGAAAGAGGAAGGCACAGTGGCAGAATAAATAACTAAAGCTGTGAAGGAGAAAGGTCCATCTGTTCACAGAGGACCAGGAAAAGGCCAAACATCTGCAAGGTCCCCCCAGTTCATCAGGCATCTGCTCTCTGCTTCGCAGTCTAAAAACTTTCCCACTTGTGGGGAGAGTGGAGCCAGCAGCTTATCTAACACAGGATGGAGTCAGCAGAGCTGGGCTGGGATGTGGTAGAGCCAGCTGTCTCCTACTGCAAAGTAGTGTTTTCTTCCAAAATCTAAGAGAGAGCTCTTTTTCTGTCCTTTGCTCCTTTTCTGAAAAATCTTGCCAATTTCTTTTTTTTTTTCTTTCAGGAGGAGTGGGTCTTCCAAAGGGGCAAAAATGGTATTTTGTTTATATTTGTTCTAATGGTCATTATTAGATGCAGACTCCTGATTATGCAGAAAACCTGCCCCTTTCCCTGTCTCATCTCCTCCAGCACATTCTCTGCCTTGATTTTCCTTAGGTGTTTTGAAGGACTGTAATAAAGCAAGAGTGTCTGACTAATGTGCTGTGCAGGGAGATCAGTCTTTGGTATTGGAGCCAGAACTGACTGAGAAACATCATCTGAAGCATAATCTTGAGAAGTCTGTGTTTGCTGGAGTTGAATTTGTTTGCAAAATCATGTTGGCTGGTTGAAGGGTCATTTACAGAGCAAAGGAGAAAAGTTTAAGAAGCACTCAAATATCCCAGCATTTTTAGAACTAACCCCTTAGATATTAATTTCAAAATCTCTCTACTTTCCTTTTTATTTTGTATTGTATTTCACATGATTTGAAATAAAAGATTGGATTAATTATAGGGCAACAAGGAGGATACTGCAGATATTATTGGACATAATTTTTTTTTTTTTTAATCAATCCTGAACTCTATAATAGCATGAGCCAGTAGGTTTCATGAGATTTTATGTATTGGAGCAAAATTATTGTCTTAAATTAGTTTTCAGTCTGTTGTTTTTGAACTGTCTTTGAGCATCTGTATTTAGGATGATACTTTCTTAGGGATTCAGAAGGGATTTTTTGAGTCCCATCCATGCTCATTTTGGGGAAAATGGGAAGAAATTACTTTCTTGGTAAATAACATCTCTGAAAGTCCTAGGGGAAGTTTGTGTCTTTCAGAGAGTGATTTGAAATAGAAGAGAAAAACTTTCAAGGGCTGCAGACCCATCTCCTTCCCATGGCAAAGGGCATGAAGGTGTTGTGCTGGCAGTGCTGCCCAGCTGGTGCCTGTGCCTAGTCTGGGCTGAGCCTAGGGCTTTAAACCTGGGTATAGGTGGCCCAGAAGGCTGCAGGTCACAGGGGTTTGGCTCAGAACCTTCCTGAGTGGTCTGGAGCCTGCTCCTTGGCATTTGGGGGTGGTGCTGAAGGTCTCTGGCAGTGATGCTGCATGGAGATCTGGAGGGTCAAGTAGGGAGCTCATATTTCCTTCCAAAAGCAACAGTTCCTATGCATGTGAGATATCACACTTTTATTAATCTGAAACCTTCCCTCCCAGATGCTGCACACACAAAAGCCAACAGCAAACAGCTCTACTTGCAGCATCAATCTTCATAAGAAGAAATAAAAACATACCAAAGTGGTCCAAATTGCAGGCAGCTGCCTTCCCTGGAGACAAATCCAGTGCTAATGGCAAATGCTCTTTTTCTACCGTGAGGAGGTGCTTTCGAAGCTTGGTGTCCTGCTGCCTGCAGCCTGTGCTACTCTGTCCTTGTTTTCTTTCTCCTTTGTGATCCCACATCCCATGAAATTCTTAAGGAGAACTTCACTCTGCTCCCACCTCCCATCTCTATGCTAAGCTGGGTGGCTTCACAGCTGCTTTGTCTTTGCTGCTTTGGCTTCCCATCGGCACTTTTGGAGGATTAAAATGAGCAAGTTGTATTCTAGAAATTCTGTACATCAGCCCCCTTGTAAAAATCCAGAGTTAAGGGAGGTGGATTCATGTGTGCTTGCGCCTGGCCCATCACGTGGCTGTTGTCACTGAGAAGAGCCTGTCATCTTCCCAGCAGCTCTTTACATGAAGCTATGAAGTCCCTATAGGAAGAGGGAGATGCAAAGAGTGTGTCTGCCTGCCAGCAGCAGGGATGCAGGAGATGGTCTGGCCTAGACTCTGGGCTCTGGCTCCAGCCCTTCGTGTGTCTTCTGCAGCAGGGGATCCCTGCTGTTGGACAGCACCTGATACTGTCTTTATAGGGATCAAGAAGAGTTGGCATATTCTAGCACACGAGTGAATTGGATGGGATCCATTGCAAGGTTAGACACAGAGTGTTCATTAGTGCAAGTTTTGTGGTTGCCTGTGGTAGGTTTGAGATGCAACTTGTGTCCGTGGAGCTGCTTGCTGGTGCCTTCAGGCTTTGTGGTACATCACCTTTTGCTGTGGAATCGGAGCACCTCTAAGCCATCTGTCGATGTTACTGAGCTGTGCAGCCATTTCCTGAAGCATTGAGGGGTGAAGCTGAGCATTTAATGGTCAAATAATGTGTTATGTCCTGTGCCACAAAACCGATGGGCAGAGCTGAAAATATTGCGGAGCTCCTCCTGATCATCCATGTCACGATGTGGGGAAATGCTGCTGAGTTTAAACTCTCCCATTCTCTCTCCTAGGGGACTTTCTTCCTCCCCCACCCCCTGCTGTGGATGACCTTGGGAACATCACATCATCACAAGGTGCCTTTCCCCCCCCACCCCCTCTGGATGATGTTACTTACAATGTACAGGTAAGAAGACAAGAAATTTGTCATTTGTGCAGAACTGATCCAGAAATTGTGGAAATGAATGAATGATAATACAATGAGGTGGCAAAGTTCTGGTTAAAAATCATGGGTCAGGAATAACCAAGTCAGCTTTAGCAAGCTGTGTTTCCCAAGCAGGGAGTATTTCCATTCAAAACTTGCTGGGCTATTAAAGGATTTTTCCCATCCGGCTTGAATTAGGAGACTAATTGCCTTATGTTGTTGTGATGGCGGATGGGAGTGGAACCTTCCCAGAATGAATTGTTTTCTGGAATGGCCATCTCCTTCCATGGACTGTGGAGAGACCTTAGGGCAGTAATCTGATCCTTAAAGTGCTTTGTTTAGATTCCCAAAATTAAGTGAAGCAAATAAGCCCTGGCCCAGGCTCCAGTGATGTAATTGAGACCCTTTTCACCCTCTTTTTGCTGGCTTGGATCTTCTAGATTGGCCACCTGGATGAAAATGCAACTTCTAAGATGCATCAGGTGATGCTGGAATGTCCAATGTGAACATGGACAGACCTTGAACACCTTTGCAAGACATGAACACTTTTGTGCAGGTATTGCAGGTTTGCCTGGAGTGCCAGGTTTATGTTTGCTCAGGCACATTCTGGAGAAATGCATTCAGACTTCGGGACAAGGCAGTCAAGGTGATCAAGGAGCGAGGAGCTGATCTTCCAGGTGAAGACCAGAAGAGTTTGTCTTGTTAGCTGAGCAAAAGGAAGGCTCAGAGGATGGGTCTGGTTGCAAATTTGAAATACACTTTGGGAATAAGCCCATATTTCGGCTCTGTGTGGATGTTGGTGCAAGAACAGGAGAGGCTGAGCTTGCCAGAAGTCCCTCCATGCTGGTGTTTAGAAATTTCTAAGCACTGGGGCTCCAAAGATCTGGAAGAGACTTCTGTCAGAAGTAGTGAGAACACAGCAAGCATGGTCTGGGTTTGAGGCTGTTGAGAGTCGTGTAACCACATATCCACAGACATGGGGCTGCCCTTGATGCCCTGGAAGACTGTGGCAGTCCTGTATCCCTTGGTGAGTTTGAGCATGAGAGTAGGCCAGCAGGCAGGCAATAAACAGGATTCAAAAGACCTGACTTGGTTCCTGACCCTCTCACCAACTCTAGACTCACTTTTTCTGCTTTGTGGCTTGGGAAAAACAAAACATTCTCCTCCCTCATGGGCTTACTGAGATCTTTTGCCTGTGCCTTCAGACACTCTGGCAAAGCCTCAGCCTTTCCTGCAACGGGCTCAGTGTTGGAAGCAGCCTTTGAGCAGGAAGAGGTTAATGGGGATTGTGTTTTCCCTTGCCAGGAAAGGCTGCAGCAGTCAGAGCCATTGCCAAGTGCAGAGCATGGCTTTTCCCAGCCTTGGGGGAATGAAGTAATTCCCCAGCAAGTGTTGTTCTGTCTTTTATCTCCCTGAGAAGAGCGGCCCCCGTGGGAGCAGGGGAGCTTCCAGAGCGCCCTGGGAAGCCGAGGAGCAGCAGGCTCCTGGCAAAGGCAGGGCACTGCCTGCATGGTGCCTGCACAGGAGCCTGGCTAGCAGGAAGGGGTCGTGGTGCCTCACAGGATTCCTCAGGGTCAGGCTTCCCCCTTCCCAGGTCACCCAGGGAGAGGGCCTTGTGTATTTACTGAAAGGGGCTTGCTCCTGCCATGGCTCCAAAAGTGTCCCTGAGCCACCTGAAACTGTGACAGGGATGTGCCCCTTGGTAGAACCACTCAGCAGGACAACTCATCCCTCTGAACTCACGGAATTGCTATTTGTCACACCCTTTCTCTCTGCCTTTGGGAAACTGGGACTGGACCTGTGTCCAGTGTTGGGTTTTAGCAAGAGCTTGGTTAGAGCAGGATTCCTTTGCGTGGTGTCCTGCTCAGAGGAGGGTGAGCCTAGCAGCTGTACCTGAGCAATTCTGCCTGTCACCATCCCACATGTACTCTTATGCAGCAAACAGAGCTCCCTGCCTTTCCCTGACGTTCATCTGTGATCAGAGATGTCACCCATTCCTCTCCCTTTTCCCTTCCATTTTCTGTAGGAGATCAGGAGCAGGCAAAAGTCAGGGCTTAAGTCAGGAGCCAGCAGGGTTTTGTGTTGCAAGATCAGCTCCTTATCTTTCAGGAGCAGCAAAAGTCACGCTGAAGCATGTAAAGCCCAAGAGAGGAGGAAGAGAGCAAGTGGTGCTGGAGGCAGCTGCCCAATGCCTTTGTGCATCAAACACAGTAATTTTCTCAACTCTGGACTTGTGTTCTTGTGCTAAAGGAGCAGAACGAATGCTGACTGTTCCTTCTGCTGTGAGGACATGGTTGTCTGAAATCAGGGATCTTGTGAACATGTGTTTTATTGGGCTCCAAGAGGCTGATTTTACTCTCCAATGCCAGCCCATTTAATTTCCATGCCTCAGTTTCCCCCTTGCTAAATGTAAGTGCTGGAGAAGCAGACCCAGTTCCTGAGCATTGCCCAGACCTGAGGCTGCTGTCTCGGTGGTTTGGCCCCTGTGGACCTGGTGAGAACCCTCCAGATCTACTTCAGAGTTTGAAATTCCTCTGTTCCATCAAATCAGCCGTTTTACATCAGAATTTTTTCTCTGGATGGTGCAATGCTGATGACAGCTTATGAAGTACTTGTGCTCTGGGGTCCAGGTAAATCTTTTTATATTAGGTGTTAGGTTGATGAGGACAGCAGGATAGATGTTTAGTTTATTGTCAGTTTGCGTGTTACTGTTACCAGAGGGCTGAAAGCTGCACAGCTTATTACAGTTTAAGCTGTAGCTTAAGAGCAGCAGTTAAAATAATACCCAGTTTTCATAGACCTGTTTATCTCTGGATCTCTATTTGGACAGTGGAACTGGCCACTTAGGATCAGATCCAAAAAGGTACTTTAGTATCTGACTTATGCTCTGATGGAAATTAGAGGACGGCTGGATCATAAAATACCTTTGTGATAGATCTGGCATTTTCTTGTAATTTCTTTTTTGCCATCTAGATCTGTAATATTCAGATTCACAGCAGGGCTGTGGGGAGGAAAGGGGAAGGAAATTTAAACTCTTTTCTTATTAACTGGAATGCCTTTTTTTTTTTTTTTAAATTAAAAAAAAAGGAAAGAAAAGGCAATATTTATTTTTAAAAGAGTGTGTTTGGGCTGGGGGAGAGTTGTGTTGGGAAGTTCCCCTTTGGCTGCAGCGGGGGAAGGCAAGGACTTGTTCCCAGAATGGGGTGAGGGCGTGGTGGTGGCGTGTTTGACAAATAAGGACATGAGCAAAGAGCCTTTTGCCACGTTGGCCTGGGCTCAGTTTGAAAGAGAAAGAAAAAAAAATTTTGGACGGGAAGAAAAATGAAATCACTGTTTGTCAAAGGGAAATAGATAGATCTGGGAGGGAAGGAGGCAGATTTTTATTATGTTTTTGCCTTCTAGTTCAAAACAGGCATCTGCCCAGGCCAGGGAAAGCCAAAAACTCTCATCAGCCGCCTCTCAAGCACCCTGTTTGCTCACAGAGAGGGACCCTCACTCATGGCTCTGGCAATTTCTTCCTTCCTTGCCAGGCAGGGCTGCACAGCTGGGTGAAAAGCCAGTCCCTGTCCCATGCCCCAGGAGTCATGGAGTGCTATGCTGTCTCAGGAGTCATGGGTGCTCTGGCTTGGAAATGACCCATTCTCTTTAAAGGGGAGGGTCAGAGCCCAGCATTTCATGTGGGAGCAGGATCTGGGTGGCTCAAAGCAGATGTGACCTTCAGCTGCCAACTTGCCAAGGGCCACCTTGGGAAAACGTCCATTTAGAGATCTCTACTAATTACCTGCATGTGCTGCATCTGCAGATGGGTCTGATTTTCTTTTGGGATCTGAGATGCTGCCACAGCATGGGAAGGAGAGGATTGTGTTGAGCTGGGATGGCACCTCTTTCCCACCAACCCCCAGCTGTTATCAGCGTGTTTCTTATTGACAGGCCACAAAACACTTGACAAAAGAAATACCACTCTCTTCCTGATAAGGAAGCTGGAGTAGACAAAGTGCTTTGTCCAGGTCACCAGGCTGACCAGTAGCAGGTTAAAAATAAGACCGAGGTCTCCTGTGTCCCAGAGCAATTCTGCCTGCTACATCCCAGAGCCTCATTACTGTAATAACTGCAAATTAACGACTAAACACCGTCAGTGCCTGAACACAGGAACAATTTGGGATGTATCAAAGTGGATGTGAATAAGTGGCTTTAGGTTGGGGGTTAAAGTGAAGAAAAAATTGGACTTTGAATAGTTGCATGAAGTGCAATATAAAAAATTTTAGTATACCAGTTCCTGTTATAATCCTGTGTGTTTGGAGGGGCTACATGAGCAGGGAACTGTTCCCACATTCAGACCTACTGAACTCACCAGTCCTATTGTCCTGTTGTGATGTGCAGAAAATCAGCCAAAGGACTGAAATGCCTATTGCCAAGGAGGTTTGGAAGGGCAAGAGCTGAAGTTGGTTCTGGAGGCGTGTGTGCTTTCCTCCACAAGGCTGTTCTGAAGAGACCTGTCTCACTGCTCCTCAGTGCTGGGAAAAGGTGGGAATGTGTTGATAGATGCGAGAAGTGAGAGCCTCATCCTTGTTAGGGAAGAGGCTGCCAGGTGTTTCAGTGTCTGACTCCACTCCCCGCGAGTGGCGGCGGTGCCTTTGTGGGCTCTGACTCACTGGCTGAAAGAACAGCCAGGACACAGGAATTGTTTTTGGTTCTTTGGATTTTTTTAAAAATTTATTTCTGAAATTTGGGTGCACATCTTGGCAAATAGCTGGGGAGGAAAAAGCATGAATTTTGCCAGTGAGAGTTGCTGTGTTAAATAGCTCATCTCCTGTTCGGTGGCTGGGCTCTGCCTGCTGGTGCTGGGCTTGCTTTAAATCACCTGCCTTTTAATGTGTGGAGAAGCTGGAAAGGCCAGGGAGAGCAGAACATGTGTTCAGCCTCCCTCTAGTGCTAGATTTTGTTAATCATCGGGATTAGTGGCCTGGTTGTAGGTGCTTGCT